GTCCATGATCCACCTTGAGTTGGTTTTTGTATATGGAGTGAGGTGTAGTTCTCAGTCTTTTCTCTGGGAGAGTCATTCCATGGATTCAAACAGCCAACCTTTTGGTCAGAAACCAAGCATTTAACCCTGTATCACCCTGTTTGTTGTAGACACAGTCAAATTCTAGTAATCATTGTTGTTGTTATGTGCCATCAAGTCACTTGTGACTCATAACAACCCTATGCACAATAGTCCCAAACCCTGCTCTATCTTGAGCTGACTTCATTCATTGTCTCTTGACACATCTACCCCTATTTTCCAGTCACTGAGTCCATCCATCTCATCTAGGGTCTTTCTGTCTTGCACTGGCCCTCTACCCTTCTAAGCATGATGTCCTTCTCCAAGGACTGGTCCCTCATTACAACATGTTCAAAATATCTCAGATGGAGCTTCAAACTCCTTACTTCCAAGGAGCAGCCTGGTTCCAACCACTCTAGGATGAATATGTATAGACAATTCCAAATAAGTATAAAAGTAAACAAAAGAGAGTAATTACCCCCATCTGCTCATTAACAGCTTTAGTAATTAACAATTCTCATCACGCAGCTTCAGTAATTATCATTAATATTATTTAATCAGTATCTCCCCATATTTCTCACTCTAATTATTATTAAATCAATTTTGAGCATCTTTTATTAAATATATGAAGAGAGATCACTAAACAGTAGGCCCTCAGAGAATTTCACACCCATACAAAACCCACAATAATTCACAAGTGTTGTCAAATATTCAATCAGTGCTCACAACTCTGAAGTTGCCAACTTGACTTTACAGTTGGAATCGGAAGCCAGATAAGATCCTCTCTTTGGGACTGATAGGTGTCTTAGTCCATAGATTTCTTCTCTTACATTTTTCATTTTAATTTAAAACTAAAATGAAATCTTTTGTACTACCGAAATATAATTTTGCTTATTTTATTTTCTTTTTCTTTCATTCTTTTCTAATAGCTCCTTTGCATTACTTTGCCCCCCGAGTGTCAGGCCAAGAACGATCCCCACCTGTTGGTCATGGTTCGTGACTCCTACTGGCGCTTCTCCTTTAAACCCTTCCAGTTTTCTCATTACAGCAGCTTCCCAGCTCAGTCTGACTTCCACCAAAGAAAGCTTTGTTTTATATTGTGTCCCTTTGAATAGATTCCAAGTCATACCAGCTACAGGCTACAGTAGAACTTCCCCATCATGTTTCCAAGTCTGTAGTCTTTACCAAAGCATACTGCCAGATCTTTCTCCCACAGTTCAAACTACCAGCCTTTTGATTGGCAGCTGGATATTTAACCTTCGGGCTACCACGGCTCTTTTTAAAAGGCTTGTTGTTGTTCTTACGTGCTGCCCAGTCATCTCCAGCCCACAGCAATCCCTGTGTCCGGTAGAATTAACTGCTAGCTGATCCTGTGCCATCCTCATGGTCTCTGCTGAGCTTAACCCCATTACTGTGGTCAGTTTGTCAGCCCATCTCTGAAGGTTTTCTTCTCTTTCATTGACCTTGTATTTTCCAAAACATGTTGTCCTTCTCTAAGGACTGGCCCCTCCCAATGAAATTCGCAATGTATGTCAGACAAAGTCTCACCGTTCTTACTTCTAAGGACCATTCTGGCTCCACTTCTTCCAAGACAGATTTGTCCATTCTTTTGGCAGTCTGTGGTATCTGTTCAGTCTTCTTCATCAATACTAAAATTCAAAGACGTCATTTCTTCTTTGATCTACCTAATTAATGGTCTAACTTTCACGTGTATATGAAGCAACTGAAAATACCAGATGTGCGTTAAAGAAGTGTTGGCTGCATGCACATGATCACATCTGACCACTAACTTCACAGAAGGGAACCGTCCCGTCAACAACATCCACAATACCAAACCAGTTCCCATAAGATCTGGCATGGGCTCCACGCTCTGCCACCCACTTTTTCTAATTCTAACACCAATTATACTGCTCTGCTTCTGTGTCTGAAATCCATTGCAGTGGCCACACTGACCTCACAGAACCATACTTAAGGTTTTGAGATTTACTAGGGAAGTTAACCGGTTGCAGTTCAGGTTGGCAACAAGGTAACAGGATACAGTTCCTCAGCTGGACAGTCTTAAGGATGCTCAATACTCTGGTTAGTCAGTTCTTGGATCTCTCATGCTGTAAATCTGTAAGGGAGATTGCCGACTTTTGCTTGAAGAACAGCCGATGCATTTTAATCACTGACTTTTTGGTTAACAGTGCTCCAGGTAATGCACTGTGCTGATAGAGCAAAAGGAAAGGAGACAGTGTGTGATAGAAGAAAAGGAGTGGGAAAGGAAAAGAAAAGAAATTACTTTAAGAAGCAATTTCTATACCACAAATCAGAATACCTATCTATAGACTAGGAAGGTTTTCAGAGTCGTGATATTAAGCTTTTACAAAGTAGCCCAAAGTTTCTTTGGTAGCTTTTCAAAGTCCTCGGGTGATGTCACATATCCAAATTTTAAAACCACTGTTGCAATGTGTTCCTCCCCAGTTTTACTTCATAGAAGGTACTTATGTAGGAAATGATAATTTTTTTCCATTCACAGTAGAGTCCATTGCAAGATAAATGATGATAGCACTGTAAGGAAAGAATAAAGATACTTGCTTTTGCAAGATAAAGGACTTATTAATTGGATTAAAGGCTTTTGTTCTCTGCAGTTAATGTAAAGTGAATATTGGGAATAGGATTGTCTTGAAAGATAGACCAAATTAATCACTGATACATTCCCTACTGTGTCTCCTCATTTTAGAATGTTGCTTTTAAATTACCTGGGCAAAATTGGATCTAAAACTCCTCTGATGGCAGCTGCAACTTTTTCAGTTGGTTGGAATAGCTTTGCTTGCACGGAGTCACTGGAGAAGCCCCTGAATTGGCTGCTTTTTAATTACTATTTGACAACCTGCCTGCAGTCTTCAGTTAATAGGTGAGTCATCTTTAACACCTGTTGCCTACAAGCTTTTGTGATTCATGCCTCAACAGTAAAAAGTTTTCAGGCATAACGCTGTGAAATAATACTTGTAAAATTTACTTACTATAGGCATTTGCCACTCTACTGAAGTTTTCTTTGTATTGTAAATATACAAATTTATTTTTTACATTTACATTTAAACTAGAAATACTGATAATGTTTTCTTTCTGTACCCTGACTAGATTGTCATTTACAGTTCCTAGGGAACATGTAGCCACCACGCTTTGGAGATTGCTTTTCTAAATTATTCAGTTACTCACTCACTCATTCCTGTCAAGTTGGAGCTGACTCCTAGCTGACCCACCACTGAATTTTCAGAGACTATAAATCATATTGAAGGAGGTCGTTCATCTTTCTCCCATGAAGCAGCTGATAGATTTGAACTGCTTGCTTTGGGATTGGCATTATAACCACTTATCCACTAAGCAACCAGGCTAGTGATTTAGTATGGAATGTTTTCAGTAGCATAGTGGGCTATTTCCTTGTATTTTTCTACGTGCTGCTAGGCTTGTTATTAGCTTTTGTCCATTTGGTCCCCAACTTGTTGACAGAGTAGACAGTACGCAAATGAGTGACGCTGCCAACCCAAAGACAGGGCTCGAATCCACCTGCAACCGTGCTGGGGAAAGATGGGAAGTCTCCTGCCATGCTATTTACAGCCTCTACAGACTGAGTTAGTTCTGATTCGGCAACAGTGAGTTTGAGGTTTTCTTAGTTTGTCAGGAGATTGATTGACTTTTCTTCCTAAACTATCTCGATTTGAACACTCCACTGAAAAACTGTTTATCATCATGGTAAAATGCAAGCTGCTGACAGGTGGTGGCTGCATGTAAGGTGTGTTTGCTTATGATCAAAAAGGGGAGCATTTTACCACTGAGCCACCATTGCCCTCATCACTTACCTTATCAGTAGTACTTGATTCTCTCCTTGGTAGGAAGTAAAGTATTATGTTTCTTGAATGATAAATAATATGACACTTAAACGGATGTTGACAGGATTGTATGTTTTAGAAAGAAGGATGCAGTTCATGTGGATCTTCAGCCTCAGCATTTCTGCCCTTGCTTAAACACTGTCTTTGGACTGGTTTGTCTGGAATTGTGTCTTTATCTTGTAACAGTTAAAATGGCATTGTGGTTGAGGGCAAAGAACTGTTTCTTTTTGTTTTTTGTTTGTTTTATGACTGGTGCAGTGTGTCTTCAGGTGACTTGATAAATTTATAAACACACAATAAAAAGACAGTGAATTTGTAACACCAAGGAGGTATTTACTCATTAGAATAATCAATAGAAAGGTAAAAAAGGAGGCATTACCCAAGGATAAAGCCCAGAAGGCAAAAAGGCACAGTTTAGAATAACTTTACTATAATCACAAGCAGGAAGCTGAGAGTTGTTACTAGGTGAAGAATGTTCATTTATGTCATGTTGTTGTTAGATGCCATCGAGGTGAGTATGATTCATAGTGACCCTATCAACCATAGAGCTGAACCCTGTGCTAGCCTGCGCCGTCCTCATCACCTCTGAAACACTTGAGCCCATTGCTGCAGTCACTGTGTCAGTCCATCTAGTTGAGAGTTTTCCTCTCTTCTGCCTGCCCTCCACCTTTCCAAGCATGACGTCCATCTCCAAGGAACAGCCTTTTCTAACTACATGCTCAAAGTATATGAGGCAAAGCTTTGGCATCTTTGCCTCCAAGGAGCACTCTGGCTGCATTTATATCAGTTTGTTCTGTCAGAAGTCCATGGGATATTCAGTATTTATGTCATATAACAACTATATAGTTGTTGTTATGTGACATCAAGTCACCTGCAACTCATAGCGACCCTATGTATGGGAGCTCTGAAACCTGCCCTGTCCTGAACCAATCTCACTAACTCTGACAAACTTACCCCCATTGCCGTAGTTACTGTATCCATCATACCCGGAATCTTCCTCTCCTGTGCTGTCCCCTCCACCATTCTGAGCATGCTGTCCTTCTCCAAGGATTGGTCCCTCCTGGCCACATGCCCAAAGTATGTGAGATGGAGCTCCAAAATCCTAGCCTCCAAGAAGAAACTTGGTTTCACCCTCTCCAAGACAAACTGATTTGTTTTGTTGGCAGTCTAGATTCTTCTCCAGCACAACTCAAAGGCATCAATTCTTCTGTCATCCTTAGTCATTACCTACATCTCTGATGCATAGCAAGTAATTGTGAAGACCATGGACTGGATCAGGCACATCTTAGTCTGTTGACTGACATCATTGCTTCTCAGTATTCTGAAAAGGTCCCTAACAGAAGATTTACCTAATGCAGTTAGCCTTTTGATTTCCTGAATGCTGTTGCCAAAAATGTTGATTGTGGAGCTGAGCAAGCTGTAATGGTTAACAATCCCAATCTCTTCTCCATCCATCATGGTGCTGCCAGTTGGCCCAGAGGTGAGACTCTTTGTCTTCTTGATGTTAATCTTCAATCTGTATTGAAGACTACAGTCTTTGACCGTCTGCAGCAAGCACTTCAAGTCCTCCTCAGTTTCAGCAAGCAGGGTTGTGTCATCTGCATAACATAGATTGTTAATGCATTTTCCTCCAATCCTTATGCCACATTCCTCCTCATAAAGCACAGCCTCCTGAATGATCACTCAGGACATTATTAAATCTTTTTAACTTCATTTATTTGTTGCCACTGAGATGGAACCCATGCACAGGAGACCATCAGGTTTGGGAAGGCTGTAAATTGTGCAGGAGATTGCCTGTCTTTTGCCCTTGGCGTTGCTGATGTGTTCAAACCAGCAGAGAGGCTGAGAATTTGGGTTTACAGTGCCAGTTCCCACAGACTACCAGAGCACTTTTGTTTTTAAAAAGGGCAATTAATTGTGCACAGCTTATTAAAGAATGGAGAAAAAAAAAACCCACCAACTACCCATAGTTATCCTGAAAGTTCACATCGTGATTTAAGCTTAATTTTTTTTTTTTCAGCAAGATCTGTTTAATTAGATGCTTTAAGGTCATGTATCTGCTTCTCCAATATAAAAGCAGTATGGGTTGATTGTTGTTGTTTGTTTAATTCAATAAGAATTTACAGAGACTTTGGATTTCCATTCATTGTTGCACTTTGATTTAAGCTTAATTTATTTCTAAAATTACAGATGTTTGTGAAAAATATTGCTAGAAAAACTAATAAATAAAAACTAAACCCACTACCATCAAGTCATTTCTGACTCCTGACAACCTTCCATTGGGTTTCTGAGGCTGTGAGTCTTTGAGGGAGGAAACTGTCTCTCTTCCTCCTGTGGAGAAACAGGTGGATTAGAACCACTGACTTTCTGATTAGCAGTGTGCTACACCACCAGACTTCAGTCTCTGTCACTCTCATTGCCATCAGGTCAGAACCAACTCATAGCAAGTTTTCAGAGGCAGGAAGAGATTGTCCTTTTTTCTCTTTCAGAACAGCTAGTAGATTTGAACTGCCTGCCTTTGCATTGGCAGTGCAACTCCCTATCCACTAGACTACCAAAGCTCCCTCCAAATATCAGTTGTTGAGTATGGCTCATAGTGACCCTGTGAACAGCTGACCTGAACCTTTCCCATTCCTATGTCATCCTCATCATCTCTAACACACGAGAGTCAATTGCTGTATTTACCATGTCACCTTGTCTCATTGGGGTCTTCCCCTCCTTCACTGGCCAATCTTCCCAAGCATGATAACCCTTTCTAAGGAATGCTACTGTGTTCTTATGTGCCATCGAGTTGACTACAATTCATAGCAACCCTGTGCACATTAGCTCTGAACCCTGTCTATTCTGAGAATCTTACCATCTCTGGCACACCTGTCCCAATAATCCCAGTTCCTGTGTCAATCCATCTCATCCAGGGTCTTCCCCTCCTGCGCTGTCCCTCCACTCTTCCAGGCATGATATCCTTCTCCAAAGACTGGTCCCTCCTGATAACATGCCCTAAGTGTATGAGATAGACCTTCAAAATTTTTCTCTCCAAAGATCAGCTTAATTTCACCATCTCCAAAGCAAACCTGTTTGTTCCCTTAGCAGTCCACGGTATTTCAAGACGCTTCTCCAGTACCACAACTCAAAGACATTGATTCTTCTTCTGTCATTCTTAGTTGTGTCCATCTCTCTGATGTATAGCAAGTAATTGTGAAGATTATGGCCTTGATCAGGTGCAACTTAGTCTCTAGACTGACATCACTGCTTCTCAGCACTCTGGAGAGGTCCCTGACAGCAGACTTTCACAGTACAATTCTTTTGATTTCCTGATTGCTGGTGCCAAGAGTGTTGATTGTGGATCCGAACAAGCTGAAATTGTTAACAACCTCAGTCTCTTCTCCATTTATCATGGCCCAGTAGTGAGGATCATTGTTTTTGGTTTTGTTTTGTTTTGTTTTTATTTTGGGCTTCAATCTACATCGAAGGCTGCAGTCTTTGACATTCTTCAGCAAATACTTCTGGTCCTCCTCAGTTTCAGCAAGTAAGGTTGTTTCATCTGCATAGCACAGGTTGTTGATGAGTCTTCCTCCAAACCTGATGCCACATTCTTTCTCATAATGGTCTGTTCCACATATAGATTGAAAAGGGTTGGAGACAGGATGCATCCCTGATGCACTCCTTTCCTGATTTTGAACCATCGTGTCCAGTGGTCATTCAAATGAGAAGGGTAGTAAGAAAAGTGAAGAGTGATTTGAGTGAAAAATCAATTGAACTCCCTCCAAATCATCAGTATTTGAAAAGTAAATATACAAAACTAAAAATACTCATTTTCCATCCAGCAATTTAAAATATGTTTGGGTGAAACACCATTGTGCTCTTGCTTTGGTTTGATTAAGTAAATATTCATATAATCAATGAGTGCCAACTGCATACCCTGTGCTAGGCTATTAGATTATTTATTGTTGTGCATTTTAGTGTGAATTAATTTCATTTTCACTATTGTAATTCTTTTGTTCTAGGCATCGGCATATGTTTGTAAAACAAATTGATATGGATCATGTCATGAAGGTAAGAGAGAAACATTATGTAACATTTCTATTTTCTTATTTGAGTCCAAGAACAAATTTTTTTTTTTTATTTTCCAGGCTAAATCTATCAGAGAGTTTGACAAGAGGTTCACTTCAGTTATGTTTGGATACCGAACGATTGATGATTATTACACTGATGCTAGTCCCAACCTGAGACTAAAGTCAGTCGGAATTCCCGTCCTGTGTCTGAATTCTGTGGATGATGTTTTCTCACCCAGTCATGGTAAGACAAAGATCTCTGTATAATTTTTACATCAATTAACTGTTTTAAAATATTGTTATTTTTTTAAGATAGAGTACTGGGAAATAAAGTATCAATCATATTTTTCAGTGTGATGAACAAAAGAAAGCCACTGCAGACTGATGACACAATTTCTAATGTCTTGAATTACTTGTCACATGTTTTCACAAATCCTTATCTAGTCCACCCTGAGTTTTGAGACAAATGATGAATCCCAGTATTTTGCTTTTCTCCTTTTTACCACTTGTCCTTCTTATGAAATATTCTACTCTTGGGACAGATTGTATTAGAGTATCTTTGCCTCAAAAGCACATTCTCATTCTTTCATTTCCTAGACAGAAGCTTTTAAAGTCTCCCTTCCCTTCTGTGTCTGGAAGATAACGTGAGACTTTATGAACACAGTGGCCCTGAATAGCTCAGTGACAGCAGCACAGGATGACTATTGAATTATAGTTGCAAAGAAGCAATCTTTCGATAATATCCCTCTGGATAATTTGTGAAAAAAGATTATGCCAAAAGGACCTTTTTTGTTTTCAATTTTAAAAAAGGAATTTGATAACAAATATGGACATGTGTTCATACAGTGAAACAATATAAAGTGATTAGAATCTTACTTTTTTAAAAAAAAATTATTTTATATTGGTTTACATACAAAACTCAAATTGTTTCACACTATCCATTCACATTGTCTTTCTTTTTTTAATATTTGTATTGATTTTCACATAATAATACCTTTACAATATGTTTCATTCATATACATTGTTATATACAATCTTTCATTTACATTGTGTTTCATATTCTTTCTATTTTTTTTTTTGTTTCTTGTGATTTTTTTTCCCTATAATTATATTTTATTAATTTTCATAAACATTTACAGAGATTTTGGGCTTCCACTCATTCATTGTTGCACTATATTCTTTCTATTTTACATTATTTTTATACTGGTTTATTTACAAGATTTGAATACATTGTTTTCACACCAGATCCTTCCCATTTCCCTTACACTTCCACACATCAAACTGTGCAACCCCATGTCTAAAACCCCGTCCCCCACACATCCTCACCCCTCTACTTCCACCTCCCTACCTCCCTTGGGTCCTCATCCTTATTATACAATAATAGTTTTATACAGTATTTGTTCTTATAGGACTGAGTTAGTTCACTTAGCATAAAGCTCTCCAGTCTCTCCCGAGTTAGGTAATAATTTAGGTAACCATTGCGCCTGTGTGCTGTGTAGTATTTCATCATGTGAAATGTACCATAATTTCTCAATCCATTCAATTGTGGTTGGACATCTGGGCTGTTTCCATATTTTTATGATGATGAATAATGCTGCTATGAACATTGGTGCACAAGCCTCCATTTGTGCCTCAGTTTTCATTTCCTTGGGTATATTCCCAGCAGTGGAATAGCTAGATCATATGGAATTTCTACCTTCAGCTTTTTGAGGAAACGCCAAACTGCCTTCCAGAGTGATTGTACCATTGTACAATCTCACCAACAATGTATAAGAGTTCCTATCTTTCCACATCCTCACCAACATTTCTTACTTGCTGTCCTGTTAAACTTTGCCACTACTACTGGAGTGAGATGGTATTTCATTGTGGTTTTGATTTGCAACTCTTATTGCCAGTAAATTTGAGCATTTCTTCATGTGTCTGTTGACACAAGAAAAAGACTGATAATCCAATTACAAAATGGGCAAAATACATAGAAAGAATTTTCACAAAGGAAGGTATTTGAATGGCAAATCTTACTTTCTTAAGGATCCACAGACTTAGTTTTTTCTAATGAAATGTCACAAAACAGGTTTTAAAACCTTTTTTCTCCTTGTTTCACCCTAAATACTTTTGAAACATTCTCCTCAAGGACTTCATTTTAAAAAAAAAAACCAAACAACCAAACCTATTCTGACTGTAGGTACATCACGTAGATATTATGAAAATTTCAAAAAAACCTCAATATATTTAAAGAAAAATCCCCTGCTGTTCTTCTAGGAAATTCCATTTTATTTTGTGATTTATGGGTCATTGTAGGTCATTTTAGGTAGTTGAACTTTTGGTCTTTGGCAAATCAGGAAGAGAGACTGTAAAGTGTAGTATTGGTTGTTTAGGCTCTTTTCATTGGATTAAGGAAGACTAGCATTTCCCCATAATTTTTATGTTTCACTGACCATTTTACTAACAAAAAAATTTAGCCTGGCCCACGCGGTTGATGTTTAAGCTCATTATTTCCTATTGTCTTAAAATAGTCTCGCCACATCAGCATAGCGGACAGTTGCGTGCAGTCCGAGTGGGCAGGTGGCCAACATCTTTCACATGACTCGTTACTGCTCAGCCTTCTTGTGCAGATAGGACTGTAACTGTCAGTGTTAGGAGCTGCTGTGTGGGGTACTCAGTGTGAAACCAGTTCAGCATGTCTTCATAATCACATGAGACACAAAGGCAGCACTCAGAATCCAAGGCTTAAATGGTGGAAAAGGAAAATCCAAGTTGTGTCAGTCGTTGCCAGTCCTGTTGCCAACAGTGCCCACTAATGCAACAGCATATAGAGCTCTACTCCGTAAGATTTTCAATAACTGATTTTTTAGGAAGTAGGTCACCAGAGCCACCTTCTGAAATACCTCTGGGTAGACTTGAGTCTGTTTAACAGCTGAGTGTGTTAACTGTTTGCACTGCCAGGGATTCCATCAGTTACCTTGATTCTCGAGATAGGAGATGCCCACGTTAAGGTCTTCTTCCTTGAGATGGATGTGGCTGCCTAAGAACGTGAGTTAAGCCTCCTCTTGTCTTGCTCCATGTTGGTTCAGGGTCTCTAAGTTTATTCAGAGGAAAGGAAGACTCTCAATGAGATGGATTGACACAGTGACTGCAGCAGTGTACTTGAATGTTGCTGCAAATGTGATGATAACACTGGAAAGGAAAAGGTCTCACTGTTTTATTCATGGGTCACTTTTGTCTGTTAGATGGCACCTAATAATCAGCTTATTTGAGAGATGACATGAGGGGTCCAAGAACCAGGCTAGTTCTGTGCTGTGGCATCTATCTCTTAGAAAGGACACCATTTATATGGTGTGTCAGCTCCCATACATACTCTTGGAACAATGGAGTGGGGTAAGGGGCTTATTTGCCCCTAAGAAGTGAAGATCTAATTATTGCATCATCCGCATTACCTTAATTAGAGAAATAAGATTTGGCAGAATCTAGAATCAAAACTCTTCTTCCACCAAGGTGGGATCCATTTATGATCTTTTTGGGTTTTGGTAAAAAATTATGTTTAAAATTAGCCAGTTGGACTCAGTTTAGATGATCCGAATTTCATTGGCAACAGCCAAAGCATAGGCACAGTGAACACAAGTATGTCATTATCCTCTCTCTTCTTCATGGCTGACTCAGTAGTCAGGGTAAACTTGATGAAGGCATAGTGGTCAAGCTTGCTTCTCTTGAGGGTGCTCTTCTGGAGGTATTTGGGCTGCCCTCGGAGTCTCAGCGTCTTAGGCCACTGGAAAGCTGGTGAAGTGCAGATCTGGATGCCCTTCAGGACTGCCTTCTTGGCCTTTAATGCCTTTGCTTTGGCTTTAGTTTTGGAAGTGACGGGGGCTTCCTTCTTCACTTTTGGCACCATCCTCGTAGAAAGGCCCGTTATGATCTTAAGTGAAAACATTTGAACCTTCTGAGGTCTTACACAAAGCATGGGAGGAAAATAATAACAATAAAGCAACTTTCATTAACATTCTCTAAGTGAACTTTATGCTCAGGATAGATTTCTTAGAGCATGTGAAAGACTGTCATTATCAATCATATTCAATTCAGCTATTTCAAAGCAAAGATTTTCTATCTCTTTACTAAAATATAGACAGAGAAAGAGGAAAAAGGAACTACTCAGAGAGAAACACAATTACTATTTGTGAATATTTTATCCCTTTTCTCTTGCAATTCATCTCCCTGGGAGAAAAATAGGCAGTTTGCTCTCCTAAAGATTTACGGCCTCAGAAACCCGATGGAGAATGTACTTGAGTCAGAATCAACAGCAATGGCTAGAGGTTTTATCCACATGTAGGTAGACGGCTCTCATGCTACAGTGATTAAAGATCTTGGTGCCAGCTGAAGGTCACCAGTTCAAACCCACCAGCTGACTGCTCTGTGGGAAAAAGCTATGACAATCTGCTTTGTAAAGATTTCCAGCTTTGGAAACCTGGTAGCAGCAGTTTTACTCTGTCTTACAGACAACTGATTTGGAATTGACTTGACAGTGGGTTTGGTGAGGGCTAGTTTTGCTTTTTTGAAAGTATGTTTTTACTATATAAAGATGATTATTATTTTGACTCTTTAATACACTAATTAGCCTGAAGAATTTATCTACATGTAACAGTAATAACCAAAGTAATAAATTCTGCGTGTATAAACCCACACTGTAGGGACAGCTGGGTAGCATTTAGTGTAAGCACTCACTGTACCTTGAATTATCCTGCCTTAATTTCTCAAAACAAGATTGGATCTTTGCTTTGGTGTTGTGATTAAACAATTGGTTTGATTCCTCCAAAAATGGTGGTTCAGTATGTGATCATAACCATATAAACAACTGATACAAATTTGTCACTCCATTTATTCATACATACTACAGATATTTGTTTAATGGTGATTTACATTGATTACCAACAGTAAAGGTATACACTTTTCCTAAAACAAACTGGTAATGATTGTAATTTTTTTTTTCCTTTTTCTCCATTCCCTCCCTTCCTCCCAAGCTATTCCAATAGAAACTGCTAAGCAAAATCCCAATGTGGCTTTGGTCCTTACTTCGTATGGAGGCCATATTGGTTTTCTGGAAGGAATCTGGCCCAGGCAGTGCACTTACATGGATCGCGTCTTCAAGCAGTTTGTGCAAGCCATGATTGAACATGGACATGAACTTTCTAACATGTAGTTCTTCAGGTACATTTTGTCGGAACCATTGTAGAGGCAGCTCAGCTTAGTGCCCAGATGTTAACTACTCTCTGTATAACGCAAATAAGCCAGCAAGGGCGTGAAAAGGTCCAGAATGACATGCAAAAATGAATTTTTTTTGGAAATGAAATCAACTTTGTAGCAAGAAATTAAATATACTATTAGATTATTATGTAGATTTTATTTTTACTATGCCTTACCAAGTATGACCTTAAATAAAGTAGTATAAATGGAATTGCACTTAACCAAAACTATCATGTAAAAAAGATTTTAATTACTCAGGGTTTTAATTTAGGCTGGTATTTTTTTAGATTACTCATTTTAGCTGATTTAATGGTACTTTAATAACTGTTAATGAGATGTTGGTTATGTGACTGTAATATAATTTGGCACATTCCTAAGAGTCTTTACACCTTGACAGTATGATGATGATAGCATAAATACTGAGATACAGTACAGCTACGTCTTTCATGTGTAACTCCAAGAGGCAAGTGTGGTAAAGTTAGAATGACCAGTACATGTTCTTTTACTCTGACAATGTTAAATTAGGGCTGATTTATGTTTTATAAATGACGATAATTCACATGCTTATTTTTAAAATAGTCTATGTGCATACAGATATATATCATTCTATTAAAATAAAATAAATTCTACCATTTTAAACTGTTCCTTTGTGAATTTCTTTTTCTTTTCTTTTTTTTTTTTAATTTTTGTGTGAGTGTACCATCAAATCAGATCTGACTGGTACAGGAGGAGATTGTCCCTCCTTTCCCGGCAGAGCATCTGGTGGGTTTGAACCGTGCGCCTCTGGGATTGTAGTTGCAGCTCCTTTCCACTAGGCCACCAGAGCTCCCCTGTCTTTGTGAATTTCTAATCTATTAAAAAGATCTAATAAAAAATCCCTGAGAATTGATTTATTATTATTTTATGAATCCATTAAGATGAGAAATTAAAATTTCTTTTTTCACTGTTTCCATAATATTGGGCTCATGCCATTTATACCAGTTAAGAATACTTTGAAATAGGGATAACCTGGATAACACTGATAGAAAATAATGGATATATTATCTTTTTATTATTTATCACAAAAATTTTCCAGAGTACAGAAGCTTACACTGTCGTTTAAGATCCAGGCTCTTTCTGTTTCTGCCTTATCCTCAGCACCTTAGTTCACACCTGGACATGAGGTGGCTGCTACCGATCCAGATATCACCTTCATCTTCAGAGAAAGAAAAGGGGGAGTCAAGACATATCCACCCTTTTGGAAAAGTAAAAGTTTTCTCAGAAGACTTGAACATATACACATGGAACATATATGAGTAAGGCCACATGGCCGGTCCTGGTTAAATGGGAACCCAGGAATACAAATGTAAAATTTTCCAACCAATGTCAAGGTTGGCAAAAAAGAACAGACTGGTCATGGCTGTTGGGCTTGTCAGTCAGCAGCAAATAGCTCCCATACCATTGGGCATCCTTTGCCCTGTTTTTAATTTATTTTTAGTATTTCAACATGTTCCCCAGGTAGTACATTGTTCAGTGTATTCCCAGGTGTTACTTTAAGAGAACAATGTGCAAAAATAACATATTAGCACAAAACTTCCTACCAAAAAAATCACTATCTGAAGCATTCCTAATATTACAGCCCCTCAATGTTGTTGTTATGACCTTGACTCATAGTAACTCCATGAAAAAAGATCTGAACCACGTCCTACCCTTGCACCATCCTCACCATCCCTAATATATTTGAGCACATTGGTACAGTCTCCATGTCATTCAACTGTTGACGGCATTCCTCTTTCACTGACCTCCACCTTTCCAAGCATGATATCTTTTTACAAGGACTGGCACCTCCTAACAACATGCCCCAAAATAAGTAAGATGAACATGCACCATCCTTGCCTGGTTGCACTTCTCCAAGACATACTTGTTTGTCCTTTTGGAAGTTGATAGGCTATTGAGTATTATCCTCCAACACGATTGTTCTGGCATCAATTTTTCTGCCATCCTTATTCATTGTACAATTTTCAAATGCATAACAAGTAGTTGAAAATTCATGGCTCAGATCAGGTGCACCTTAGTCTTTAATAACAGCATTGCTCCTTAACACATTGGCGAGATCTTTGATGGCAGATTTTCCCAAAGCCACACTTCTTTTTGTTTCCTAACTACTAGTACCAAGGGTATTGATTGTGGATCCAGGTAAAAAGAAATAATTGTCAACTTCAATTGTTTTTTCATCTATCATGATATTGTCTTTTGGCTCAGTGGTGAGAATTTTGTCCTCTGGATGATAAGACTTAATATTAAAGACTGTAGTCCTTGATCTGCAGCACATGTTTAAAGTCCACGTTGAGCAAGCAAGATTGTGTCATCTGCATAACACAGAGTGTTGATGGGTCTTCTTCCCATTCTAGTGCTTCATTCTTCTTCATAAAATCCAGCCTCTTGACTGATTTGTTCAGCACAGGATTCTTCAATGTTGTGTCTCAAATGGCAGAAGTAGCCTAAGCAGTGCTTTGTTTTCTAATCAGCATGTAACCCAATTCCATAGTAATTACACTCAATCTATGTGGTTTAGGTGAGGTTGATCCTACTTTCCAGAGTTCTCTTTAGACTCTGGAGAATTATCAAGAAAAATTCCCTGGGATTACAAAATCTAGTGACCATGGGAGCCTGCCTTATTGAGAGATTGTTCGTAATAACTTGTGGAATGAACCTGTGAACAAAGCCAAGCAAGTAAAATAAAAAAGAGGAAATAAGAGTCCTGAAAACTATTTGAAAAGAGGTTATTTGAGCTTATTTCTTGTCAGGTCAAAAGTCTTTGGCCTATGCACACTCAAGTTTATTGTGGCTTTATTCACAATAGCAAAGAGTTGGAAACAGCCCAAGTGCCCATCAACAAACGAATGGATAGAGAAGCTCTGATATATTCACACAATAGAATACTGTGCTACATTTAAAAACAAGGAACTCATAAAATATTATACAAATGGGTGGCCCTGGAGAACATTATGCTGAGTGAAATACCTCAGTCATAAAAGGACAAATATTGATTGCATAGTGCCACTGATGTAAAATGGGACAGATATCAGGGTTGAGGGGAGACTGAGAAAGATGGGATAAATAATGTATACTACATTGAAACGGATGAGGGAGAAAACTGTTTAAAAGGGATATATGATTAAGTATTATTGTCAAGATAGGAGTCCAGAATGAAGGCTGAGTAGTGGAGTGGAGTTTCGGGGAGAGATTAGATAACAATGAAAGCATTTTACTTTTCAAAGAGCTAATTGGGCGGGGAGGGGTGGTCAGGGAGAAAAGTGCAACAATGAATGAATGGAAATCCAAAGTGTCTGTAAACTTTCATTAAAATTAATTTTTTAAAAAAGGAAAAAAAAAAACAGGTCTTTGGCCTTCCCAGTAAAAGGAATCAAGAGATTCCTTTTTTCCCCAACTTATTCTTTCACTACTCAAAAAGTGTTGCCCAATATGTTTAGAAATGAACTATGTAAAAAGAATGCCTACCTTGTTAACCTCTGGAGGACAGAATCTGTGTCTTAATTTATTTTGTGATCCAAAACATTTGTACAGCACTTGCTACATATATGTTATGTACCACCAAGTCAGAACTAGTTCATAGCTGACCCCCCAGCTCTCTAAAATTTTGGAGAAAGATTAGCAGTCTTCTTCCATGCAATTTACAGCCTCTGAAAACCAATGAAGAACTAGCTGTGAATCATTTCCAACTCCACAGCACAGAACAATAACGGCTTATAAATGAATGCTTTTCTATGTGAATCCTATTTTATTCATATAAAATAATATTCATCCATTTAATCCTTTCATAACAAAATTAGTTTATGCTTGTTAGATTTGGCTGCAAAAAGGTTTTCAATAATGGAATGCATACTGAATAATTGTTGCTATGTGCTGACAATTTGAGAACAATTCATATCAAACCTATGAACAGTGAATCTGAATCCTGTCCTCTCCTGTGCCATGTTCACACTTCCTGACACACTAGATCCCATTGCAGCAGTCATCATGTCAATCCACCAGGTTTAGAGTTTTCTTCTCCTTCACTGACCCTCCACTCTTCCCAGCATCATGTCCTTCTCCAAGAAATAGCCTTTCTTAGCAAGCCTCAACAAAATACATTCTGTGAAACCCCATCCTTGCCTCCAAAGAGCACTCCAGCTGCATCCTCTTCAAGATATACTTTTGTTCTTTTGACAGTCCATGACACGTTCAGTGCTCTTCTCCAACAACACAACTCAAAGACATCAGTTCTTCTGTAATCCCTGTTCATTGTTCAGCTGCCATATACACAGCAAGTAATTAGAAAGACCATGGCCTGAATCAGGTGCACCTTAGTCCTCAAACTGACATCAATACTCCTCAATAATTTCGAGAGGTCCCTAACTGAGGTCTTTTCCAGTGCAACGAGTCTCCTTATTTTCTAACTGCTGGTAATAAAAGTGTTAATTGTGCATCAAAGTAAGATGAAGTTATTGACAGTTCCAATCTGTTCTCCATTCATAATGATGTTGCCTATCAGTCCAGTGTTAAGAATCTTTATTTTCTTGACATTGAGATACAATACATATGGAAGGCTACATTCCTTGATCTTCTGTAACAAATGCGTTAAATTCTCATTTTCAGCAAGCAAGGTTGTGTAATCTGCATAACGCAGGTTATTGATGAGTCCCTTCTATCTTGATGCCACATTTCTCTTCATAGAATCCAGCTTCTCGGATAATTTGCTCAGCATACAGATTGATTAGGTATCAGGAGAGAATACAACCCTGACACACTCCCTTATTAATCTTAAACTATGCAATGTTCCACCAGTGTGAAAATTATCATATAATATCACTCATATCACACACAAGCAAAATCCTGCTGAAGATTATCCAGAAATGACTGGAACACTGCATTGACAGAGAACTATCAGAAACACAAGCTGGGTTTACAAGAGGG